CACACGAGCACTGGCAGAAGAGCTTGGAAGAGTGGAATTGTTGGAAGGCTCAGTTTTTACAGGGCTTCTTGCAGGCACACAAAAGCTCCCTCAGGGTAATCTGGACCCAGGCAGTGCTGAGCTCCCAACCTGAGCAAGGCAGAGGGGATTTTCTGTGTCTGCACAAGGTTGTGTCAGTGTTACCAGGGCTCACCATGGCCAGAGGGCTCAGAGCTGCCCTTCCCCTCAGACAGAAGTTCCTGTCATCCTCCCATCTCTCCTATGATGACAGGTTTGACTGGATTCACTCTATCAAATAAAATCACTGAAGTACTCTAAATTACGTCATACATGAAAAGCAGAGGTGGCCAGCTCTGTCTTTCTGTGTCCTTTAATGCTCATAAATCAGAAGTAACTCCCCAAAATACTAATCAAATAAAAAGAAGGTTTTTACCATACTTTCATATGGTAATCTGCACTGCCCATACTGCACAGCTTTTTGAAGCACCATCAAATGCATCATATGTCCTACTTGCATTTGTTTTTAATCTATAATTCTGTGTATTCTTCCCCTTTTTTATCCCTTGCTAATGTTGAAAAACCCTCTAGATACCCAGACCAGGGTTCATTTCAAAACAGGACAGCACCTTTTTTCTCAGGACAAGGATTCAGCATTGGTTTGTAGCACAAACTTCCAAAAAAACACTTTGGAGTCCCTACAAAGAAAAGAGTTCTTGTCTCTGGCAATATTCAAAGTTGCTGCTCTGACCTCTGTGGGATGACTTTCATGCCAGGCTGTTGACACACTCTTGCCTTTACAAGAAGTGTGTGTTCAGTAATAACAAGAACAAGTAGAAATTATTTACATGGCCTAGATGGGTGTCAGCAGACACATTCCAGCAGCACCTGAGAGCCCAAACACCAGAAGAATGATCAAAGGAATTTGTCTGTGTGCTGCAACTTGGACTGGCCTTCAGAGCAGACAAAAACACTGCAAGAAACACGAACATATGGTGTAACACTTCCCAGCATGGCAAACAGCCACGGCAAACACTTTTGGAGATAAAATTAGATTGGGGAAGCAAAGCTGGAGAAAAACAAAGCCAAGAATGAACTCAGAATGCATTTCAGCTCAAGGTCATTGGAATACTTCCTATGTAACATCACCAGCAATTTAATTCTGTTTTTTCTTTTCTGACAGATCTGCAAAAGTCAAACCAACCTCAAGAAACACTCAGTTACAGGTACAAATGAAAGTGCAATACAGTGATCAGCAGACTTTTGATGCTTATTCTGGAGACTAAAACAAGTCAAAAACTCAAAATACCAATCAAAATTAATTCCTGGTTTCTTGAAAGCACAAAGGAATTGAAAAGCAATTTTTTCTAAGTATGTAATCTGAAAAGGAGTACTTGCAGCTTGTAAGGAGAAGGTTCTGTATATTTTTTTAAATCAACAAAGTAAATCTTTCTTATTTTAAGGTCTCCAAGAAAGCACTTAAAAACTGTTGCTTCCAGACTTCATCTACCCTGCATGAATTAGCTCTGAAAGGTGCAGTGTGATGGGAGCTTTGTTGGAGAACATGGACTGTTAGAAATGTCTCCAGCTCTGGAACACCACAAGAATTTTGAATGGGCCTCTTCAAAGTTCTAAATTAAGAAAGAGATTCTTAATTTTGTGAAGTTCAACACTTATCCTGTGAAGCCCACCTAACTTTTTATAGCTGAACTAGTCCAGTGTGTAACAACAGTGATTTGCAGAGAGCTACACCCACCCTGTCCACAAACAGGAACCATCCAGAGCAGCAGGACATCAAGCAGCAAAAGATGTTAAAGGCTGGATACCAAGTCCCATTTATATTATACATAATATACTATTAAATAGCTAGGAATTATAATAAAAATACTATCTAGATCTATATATAATTCCAAGCTCCTTATTGATCTGTTTTCACAAGAGAGATAAGGAAGAGAGATAGTTTGGAATGGAAAAAAAACAGATATTGGTGCTTCCTCAAAGATGAGCAGCACTGCTGTGTGACTGTGAACAACCTGAGCTACCCACTCTGGTCCTGGGTGAAAACATTCCTGACCAAATCCCAGACTAACCAAAGAGCTTGGATTGAACTGGGGCACACAAAAATTCAAGTTCCAGACAGTTTATTTTATATAACTATCAAGTAAGTTTCAAAATTCCCAACTGCCACAACTGTTTTGTTTCTCCAATTAATGACAAAAAAAAAAAAAAATCCAAAGAAATAAGAAAGAACCCCTACATCCCAAACCCAGAGCGTATCCCCAGTTCTCATTAGGAAATAGCAATGTAAAGCCTGGCTGGCAGCACAGCTGGGGAGGCAAATCCTCCTGGTGTTTGTTTCAGAATGAAGGAGGGGCTGTGACAGTGTTGGCACCAAAAACAGGAACCCTGAGGTTTCCCTTTGCACAGTGACTGCAGACATGGGCACCAACCCCTCACTGTCCTCCACCCCAGATCCAGGAAATAAAAGCTGTTCAGTTCCAAAACTGGCTTTAAAGCTACTTCACTCAGCCAGACAAATCATTTCCAGGGGAGTTTTCTTCTGAGGGGAAAGAACAAATTGTGCAAGTTAAGAAAGCCTTCACATAGAAACTCCTGGCCTTTATCTGCTTGGAAAAGATTCAGTCATAAAGGTTTTCTCTCCAAAAGAAGCTTTCAGCAAGTAGGAAGGAAAGTCAGGCAAAACTATACTCATATTTGAAAAGATACATATTAAAGCTGTGACTTAATAAACAATCTCTTACCTAGAACTCTCAATCTCTCTGCTCCAACCACCACTTCATTGTCATCTGCAGAAAACAGCAATTTTCCAGAGAGGGTTTTCACCTCAAATTTTTGGCTGTGTGCTTCCACTGCTTGGGGACCTAAGGAGAAGCAGCTTTACTTTAGAGAAAAGTGTAAGAAAATCACAGTAGCTTCATACATTCAGTAAACTCATTTGCTGGGTAATAATAGCTCAACAAATTGTGTCAGAGATACCAAACAGAGAGGCTTTTTAGAACTTATTAGGAAAGGGCAGTTTTCTACCCAAGTAACAACTGTTCAACTATTTCTGCTTATGCTTTTTTTAATGTTTATGTGTGCCATAAAATCACCACTGATTTTGGGACAGCTGGGATATTTTAACAAAATGACAGACCCACATGTGAAACAGCGATGAACATACCCAGCCATGCTTTGAGAGTATTGGTGTAGGTGTAAGAGGCATCAAGAGTTCCTGGGCCCATTTTGCTTGGACTGATGCTACTGTGTTAAGGATTCCTGTTTTTCTAGCTTTTAAACATATCTAGATTAAAATTCTATCAGTGTCATGTGCAGCCCAATTAAAAAAAAAAAAAAAAAAAAAAAAAAAAAACAAAAAAAAACCAAAAAGACAACCACCAGCACAGGAGCAAATATTTTGGTTTAGACCCCTTCAATCATGTGCAGGCCAAGAAAAATGGCATTCTTTCACATGGAGAAAGTTTTTAGACAAGTAAAACTTTCCTTTGAAGATCTTATTTCAATTCTGCTGCTTTTCCTGCAGGCTGCTGTGCCCTACAGTGCTGGAAAGCCTCTGGCAATGCGTTTTCTTGTGGGGTCTGATAAACATCAGCCACCTGAACAGCAATTCTGTGCAGGTTTGTGGCTCCAAGGCTGCCAAGGGTTACAAAGGGGCTGCCCTGGGTTACTGACCTGGGCCAGACTTTGGACAAATCACCACTGAACAGCCCAGCCAACTCCATCTGAGCCACAGCCCTCCTGGAATATCAACGTGCATGAGGTAGGTGCTTGGACTTTGATTAATTCTGGCCATCTTCAAGACCAGTCTCATTTCTCAAAAGACAAGAGAACATCTGAAAGCCAGTATTTTCTTAAAAACTCCATCCCTACCCAGCATTTCCCTGCATGGGTCACCTGTGCTGGCACCTGGACACACAGAATCATGCATATGGTTTGCACTTCAGACAAGTGAGGCCATGCTGAGATCCCTGGAAATATTTAAAATCTCGTGCAGCCCCCCTGAGAAAATGCAGTATTTTAAATCTGGTTTGTGCCTTGCTTATCAACCACCTCCCCACTCATCCTTGCAGCATGCACTACATGGGACCACATCTTTGCTCCACTGTGAAACCAAAGCTGGTGCTGAATGCATAAAAAGCTCAATAACCAAAGCATCCCACTGGGAGGTATCACTCAGTCCCAAACTCTCGTGACACAGAGGTGCTTAAGTGAACCAAACACCCTCTTGAAAATACACACAGAACCAACAAACTGAAGACCTTCATTCTGAATGTGAGAATCAGGGAGCCTGGGGTCGAATTTATTTCCTTCCTCCAGGCAAGTTTCACACAAGCTGCCTAAATAATTGCTCACTGAAGCTGCATATTTAATAATTTAATACTGTGACTAAAGGCCAAGATGTTATATAAGCAAACCAAGCAACCCAGTCTCACCTTAAAAACATGTTTATGGATTACAGCCCTTGCCACACACCAATACTTCTCACGGTCCATGTATAAATCTCAGTAAATATATCTGTTCCATATCAAATATAAATGATATGCCATATATACAGTGCTATATTCCTTATATAATGCATTAGGCTCTTTCAACCCAAATTACTCATGTATTCATTCAAAGGTTACTGTGCACTGGAGATTTACAAAACACCCATTTCCCCACCCAACACACTCTTGTTTGGGTGCAAAGAGAGTTCTTCATCAGCAGAAGGACTTTAAATTGCAAACAGTTGCTACAGCTGGGCTCCAGAGTTCTCAAGATTTCAGGCAAGTTATAAAAGTCTTGGGAAAAACCTGTGCTTGTTACAACAGAAATGTCAGCCTGGCATATGTTCTCCCTGACCCTGATGTCATACAGCCAACATTTCTAGCTCTGGACTGGCTTTCAGATGGAAATGATGGTGTGCTTCATTATCAGACAGCCCCAGCCTCTCCAGCATGGCTTTCCTGTCTCTGGCTTTCTTTCTGCAAAGCAGAGTGAAGTTTTCATTCCTACTCCACAGGACACCCAGGCTCCCTGCCGTGTGCTGTCTGAATCCAGCCCAGCATCCCCAAACACCCACTTTCATCCCTCCTTAACCCCTCCAAGCAGCTTTTCCCCCTCCTTACCTGTTACAAGGCGGGTGAGGACTTTTGTCTTCTCGTTGAGGATGTTCACGGTGACGTTCCTGGCGGACTGGAAGTACAGAGGGTTGCCCTGGAACGAGACCACGGGTGTGAGCTGGGGATGGAGCCTGGCTGGGACGCTGAGCTGTGCCCAGCACTGAGCCCAGGCTGGGGGCATGGCTGGGCTGCACCTGCCCTGCAGCAGCTCCTCCTGCCCACCATGGACACCACGGCTCTGGCAGGCCCAGGCAGCGCCTTGCTTAGGGATGATTGCCTCTAACAACCAACCCGTTGTTTTAAAATGTGCAGGTGATACAGCACCTGACCTAAGCTTCCCAAAAGTGTTTTGGGAGGGTGGTTGACTGCAGCAGTGTATTTCAGAGGCAAATCTGCAAAATTACAGCTTCTGATCGCTGTGTGTGCCTAACACATGAGCAAGCCATGCCCAAGGGCTGGGGAGAAGAAAATGTGATTAACATGTGGAGAGTGCCTTAAATCTCAAAGCACTTGTGAACCATCTGGCACATTTCCCCACCACACCATGGGCTGGGATGCCAGCCTGTGATCCATCCCACCGGGTCTGCAGAACACAAGACACGAACTCTTCCCCACTTCCCACCTGACCACAGAGAGTTCTACCAATTTCTCATTTTTATGCTTTAAACACACCTCTGAGAGAAGAGCCAGAGCAGCTGGTAGCACACGGGAGCCACACAGCGACCTGGCAACATCCATCTCAGGTATTTCTCCTGCAGAGTGAAGCCAAAGGAAACCCACAGCTCCAACCATCTGCCTGTCCTGTGTGCAAACACAGCCCAGCACCGGGGAACTCGTGTTTTCCACAGGCAGCCCCAGCCTGCACAGCTGGTTTCTCAGGGGCTATTAGCCACCCACAGCACCAGCACGGGGTGACCCCAAATTAAATCAGCCAAAAATCCAATGTGAGGGGTGGAGATTCACTGCCAGCATCTCTTCCTAATGCCTAAAGCACACAGCTGATCAAATTCATCCACTGGCAGAGACACATGATAGGCAGAGGAGATAAAGCAGCAAAAAACTAGCAAGAAGGTGCAAAGTTTTATGTCCAATGGCTTTTTCCAGCATTCAAAAATTTTTCCATCAGGAATGTATAATCAGGATGGTGACAGAGAATTGTGTGGGTCAGGCATGTTCTCCTTGCCTCCTGAATTTGTAATGAACACGATATTTTCACAGATGCCATTTTTTTCTGGATCATGGCAGAAGAACTAAGTTGTCTGCATATAAAATATAATAGGAACACAAAAATTATTCCTGGGTGTCCTGTGGTGGACTGGGCCTTTAGGGAACACTTTAGTGATGGACAAACAATTCCCAGCAGTGTTTTCAGAAAACAAACCTCAAAAAACTAAAATAAAAGCAGCCTCACATGTGACCAAATAGTCACATAATTATATTTGTTGCCTTCACTGTTTTTGCAACATGTTCCCATGGGATCAGCTCTTCAGCAATAAAGAGGAAAATGGGGTTTATTTGATCAATTATAACTAGAACATTTTGGCTACATCCAGACTATTTACAACTAAATAATAATTAAAAAAAATTCCACTTAATCATTTCCAGATTTTGGACACGTTTCAGAAGCTCTTGGTTCCTCTGTCCCCTCCTACACTAAATGAGGACAAACTATCCTTCTATACTTCTGCAATGTGTCTGACACCTTAAGTATTATTGTATATAAAACTGAATTATGATTAATAATTTATAAGTAAGGATCAGTGGTAACGACTTGTAATGATTCTCCTCTAATTTTTGTTATCTTCTAGAACTTCTAGAAATTAATGCTGATTATTTATTACTATTTTATGGTTAACAGCTGAGAAAGAAAAGATGGCTTCACTTTGATCCCCCCCCTGCTTGGGGACCTGATTTGAACACACCCAGGAACAGCAGTTTACTGCTGCATAGCCATTTCCCACTTGCATATAAAGGGTATTTTTAAAGGTAGACAGCTACAATCTGCATAATGTATAGTTATGGGTGAGCTGTAACTACTATAAACACACCATAGGAAGCACAGGAAAGTGGTTTTTTTTTTACTTTTACTGTTTGAATTTTTCTTATGGAGTTTTCAAGCAGCTGGAATGTTTTGAAAAAGCCAGTTCACATTCAGGCAAGAAAAATAGTTCAATTCCCATGACTTTGAAAACTCTGTTGCTGCTCTTTGTAATATGAGATTGCACTACAGAGGAACTACAAGATAAGCCAATGTAAAAAGTCACACTAAGAGTTGCTCTGAAGACCTACAAGACAAGGAAAGAGCTGGTATCCATCTAGAAAAGGCTTAAAATACATAATCAGTCCTGGAAAAGTTTACCCCAGCATAGTAATCTCATTCACTCATTCAGAACTCAAATTCACACAGCCTTCAAAAAACTAAATTTTCCTAATGGAGGAGTTATGTTTTTATTGGTCTGCAGGGAAAGAACATTGGAAGCACTTAATGCAATGCCTGCTCTCATTTCCATAATTCTTTTTCCATTAAGAAATGAGAAAGAACTGAAGAAATTACTCCCTTTTGCTGAAAATTCGGCAGATTTTCCATCTATCATCTTCTGTTTACAAAGGAAATAACACTGACATCTTTTAAACACTGAACATTAAAAAAAAAATGTTTCCTCCGTTGCAAGCTTGGTGATGATGCCAGCTTCTCTCAATCACACAGAACAAAATAATGAAAGCTTTAAAAGCCAGTTAGGATTTACAACTGAAAAGACAAAGCCTTCCCCTTCTCTTACACTTTCATGTTACCATGACACAAAATGAAGTATTCTGATGCATATGAGCAGGTGGAAATCTAGATCAGCATGGCATCAGCACCACAATAAAATAAGTTATGTAGAGAAGCAATATTTTCATAAACTGTCAGAGCACTTCATGGAGCTGGAGTTGGAATACCAGCATGCAATAAGGAAGCACAACTTTTAAAGACTCTTTGGGCTGGTCATGTCCTTTCAGCTCACCATGAACCCACTATTCATCTCTGCAGGAAATGCTGGAGAGTAAATACATCATTCTGCCTCTTACTCCAGCTCCTCATTAGCAGAGCCAGCACTTTAAAATAATTCAAATGTTTGCAGACACACGATAGCATTTGCCACTCAATAGATTAAAACATTGGACACATGCTGCAGAAGAAAGGATATGAAAAGTGCAAAAATATGTCAAAACTGCATAGCTTGGTTCCTCACCAAGCAGAGGTATCCAGTAAAATATAGAAAACTTCACAAAAGGTATCAACTTACTGTTTGCTAGGTTAAACACATGGCAAAACAAGCCAGAACAGATCACTAACTGTCTTTCTTTGGCTTCCTTTGGAAGAGATGCTAAAAACTCCCAGATCAGAGACTGAAACAGAAAAAGCCCTTTGACTGACAAGCTTAATTTGCAGCTGAAGCAATCCCAACTAGTGCTCCCAACTTCAGGGAAATTCAGTACTTTAACAGATGTCCTTAGACTGTTCCAGGGAATTATTAAAAGTATTTGGAAATCCTTTTAAATTTTCACAGGCAATTTAAAAATAATGCCTCACAGTCAGTGTGTTTGTAGTTTGGATGGTCAAAAGGAATAGCTTTGATCTGATCCTATGGATCCAGACTTCACACAGTAAGTGCCAAGTGAAGCCTGTGAAAATAATGGAAACTGTGAATTTCCTGCAGGCTTGAAAAACTAATGGTAAAAATAAAATCTTAAAGCATTAATATCAGCTGGCAAGGAGCAATCTATGGAGAAGTCACTCAGAGTAGCATTTTCCTGCTCAACCCCACCTCTCACTGACATTACAGGAAGCAAACACTGACTGCTCTATGCTCAGCTGGACTGTCAGAGGACAAAACTTGTTTTTCTGTAAGGCAAGCAGCCAGCAAAAGCTGTCCTGCAGCCACAAGCAGCACTCACCTGCCTGCACCCCTGGGTGCTGTTCCAAGGGGAAGTTTTGTGTGGGTAATAAATATATTCCTTTCTTCAAATCCAATCAGCAGCTAAATGTGGTAACAGCAATAACAGCAGTGACACTTTCCTGCACTGCATTTTCCACTGGTAAGGACAATTCAGAGCTGCACCTTGTTTTTTTCTGGTTTGATGCAGCAAGAATTCATCACCCAATAACGGAGAGACAGAGCAACAAATTTAGGGCACCTGAAATGGTCTTCATTAGGAATGGCAAAGCTCTAATGGAAAGCCACAAAGGCATCCCACCTCTGTAGTTTCAATTTGTGTGGCCAGGCCCAGGGCAGTGTTGAGGACACCAAGAGTGTGCAGCTCACTGGTGCAGGTGTCAGACACATCCCCTGACCTGCCAGGAAAGCTGTGACCCTTACTCTGTCACTTTTGGTCAGTTGACACAGACATGCTTACATGAGTCTTCATGACACAGTTCTGCACATTCCCATACCACTTGCTCCTCTTTCAAAGGAACACCTCACTGAGGTTTGGAGTTTCTGAACCACAAATGTCTCCAGAACACGCTGTGAGTACAGTCAAAAGAAACCCAGGACCTGTCCCCAAGCTTGCACTTCTTTCCCCCACTCCTGCCTTAGGAACAGAAACTTCTCTGGAGAGTGTCTGGTAAAGTTCAGAGCTGCTCCCCTAAAACAGAGATTTAGGAGGAGATTAGTAAAACCCTTCAGCACTGATGAGAGGGGCTGCAGGGATCAGGCAACTGGCAGCACCACGAGCCCCAGCAAAGCTCACAGAGCATTGTACAGACACCCTGCACCTCCTGAAGAGCCAACTGGAAGCACTGGACAGCATCTACCTTTGGCTGTGAAGAAAAAAAGCTGGGGAGTATCTAATGAACCCCATCCCTAAGATCCTGCTTGGAACAGCAGCCTGGCCTTCAGCTACACTGGCAGAAAATCCACACTTCATGGTTAACTTGCAAGCTAACCATTACTGTTTCTATGTCAAAAGCTCTTCCTCCTTTTTCAGGTCTAGATCCCCACTGCAACAATAGGATTTTCCCCAGAAGCTTCCTGGCACAAAAATTTAAGGCATGTAGCTAAATCCTTAGGTGATAGATTGAAAATAGCCCTTAATATGATTTAAACATAC